TCACCTATATGGTTTTATCAGAGGGCTTTGGAGATACCTTTTTATGGATTAATACAGAGCAAAGAGGCACTTGCTTCACTGGATAAAGGATGTAAATGGTATGAGTACAGAGAAACTCTTATTCGCTGTATTACTTTATCTGACTCTAGAAAAGGGTCTTCTGTCCCTCATGCACATGGAGGACCCAGTCCTTATAGACTTGGATTAAGCTTAACACATACAGTACTATTCAAGATTTAGGTATTTTCATATAGCTTGAATATACTTGAAATAACCTTATACTAGCCCATAGGAAGAAAACCAATCTTGATACTTAGGCAAGAATCTTCAAGTGACAAGACAGAAGTGCTCTGTAGTTCCATACAGGTCTCTGCAAAGTGACAGACTGTCAGATAGAGACTTCTTTACTCCTCTCTCATATCGTCACCCTGTCTTTCAAGATACATCCATGAGGCCAGAGTTCAGTCATACAACTGTAACAAGGGCAGACCTTGACCTGACAATGCTAAGTACTGATGATAATACATCAGCAGGAAAAATGAAAACATGTAGATTAAAATTGTTACTGCTGTTACTAAAAATCACTTTAAGACATCCTTACAGGTCTTTCAGCATCGGCAGTGGTAGAAAAAAAATACACCAAAGGAGGGATGTGGTAGAAGGGACAGAGCAGCCACAGTAGATATTGCCATGAACACAGCATGTCACACTTTAATAACTCCTACACCACTGAAAACAAATTGGACACGAGCAAGCATAAATCACACAAGCTTATGCACATCTTGAGATAGATAACATATCTCAACCACAGATATCTTCTACTCATTTTCACCAGCTGGAATGCACTCTTCCATAACGACATCTCTACACAGTCCTGGCCCATGCAACCACAAAAACAAAATCTAAAAGTCTGGACAAAAACAAATCTAAAAGTTTGGAAATCTGGGAGCTCTAGGCACCTAACTTCTGTCCTTCAGGGAAAGACAACAACAAATAGCTATAAAAAAACTGTGCAGCTTTGTTAAAATTGGTACTTCACACACAAGGAAACCCCAGTGGAGCAACCACCCATGAGGCATTCTGCAATTAGGCTTGGCACCTATTGATTAGATGAACCCCCTCCTCTTTTGGGCAAACTCTTTGTTCCCAGATCTCCGATAATAAGGAAGGTCTCCTTGCTCATTAGAAGGTTGTATGCCAAAAGGGAGCAAGAGACCTTGTCCTCTCCTTATTCCCTGGCTGAGCCATACATAGTGCAGACATCCCCAGAGAAAGCTTTGGGAAAAGGCCAGGCTCATTGAATGCATGCAAACTGCAGTGTTTCCAAGATGATATCGTTCCACCTACTGCCTGGCCCACACTGCCTTGATGTGGGTCAGACTGTGAATAACACAATTTGGTTGCCTCCATGCTAACCTCTGCATTCCTCTGACTCTCAGTGAGAAAGTCTCTTCTTCCTTTCTCACTAGCTTCAAACGGAAGCCTCATTAATGCTGTAAATTCAGTGCTTAGTTTTATAATTGTGGTTTTATTTGAATAGCCACAGAAATGTTGGGTGAGATTAAACACAGGCCTCTCCTTTTGAAGAGGTCTTTGCTTAATATGACTTTTACACCCCATTTTCTAACTGACTTTTAATTTTTTCTCCTTTGAGTCTAGCTGCAACTCCAGCTCCTGCACAGCAGTTGTGAGAGCATTTCCTTGGTGCTATGCTAAGTGATATTTGTGCATAAACTTTTGCTAATTGCTGAACCTATGCTGGAATGAATAAAGCCTTCATTTATGTTTATATATTACTTTCCAATATTTGTATGTTTGTAATCATCAGGCTAAACCCAGCTTTCATTTGCAGAGACAGTAATTGAGATACACTCTATTTAGGTACACTGAAAGGTGGGTCTTTTCTAGTATCATTCACAGCTATGGTTATCAAAGTAATTTCCAAATCCTGTAAGTCAATGAGATTTGTTCAGAGCTAGTAACTATGATAATGGCTAAAACAATAGGTACAATCAACAGGTAATTCTGATCAACAGAAGTGAATCTAGAGCTCATTTTGTGCTGGAGACCTGACAAGTCGCTGGGGCTCTTATTTCAAAGAAGCTTCGAGTTTGCTCCTGTGGGCTAATGCTTTTTTACTGCTGCAGCTCATCTCCCATTCAGGTTAGTTCTGTGCAAGGAGAATCCACAGCCCGTTGCACCATTCATTATGCAGACAAGAGCTCGGCAAGCAGGCAACAACCGAGTGTTGCCTGAAAAGTGCTCTCCTGGTCTGAACTCACCCACTAATACAGACAGGCACACCCTACGTGTATGTTTGAAACTTACATAATTAGACTATCTCTGCGGTGATTCCTGGTCATCAAAAACTTTCCCAGACATAACTGCTACTATTAACAGCAGAAGTTCCCAATTTAACAAATAGAAACAAGATAGATAAATACCCACATCATTCTGGTTTCACCCAGCCTTACCTTTCAGATTGTAGCAATCTGTTGTCCTCAGTCAGCTGGAAATAGTACTAAAGTGATAATTATTTTCATGACAATGCAGCACTTCCCAGGGTCTCTTCTGGATATCTGATGGTTTTGACTGCTTTATATTGGAGGAGTCTGATAGTCAAACAAATTAGGTCTACCATGCCTCCCAGGATCCATGCTTTATTCCTCCCTACCTCCTTCCTCGTCATTTAAGTTTAGCAACAGGTAACTCAGCACAAAAACCCAAAACTGAGAGGTGCACCTGAAGAATCTGGAGTCAACAGGAATGGGGAATAAGGAACCAAGGAGGTTTCTGGTGTAGTAGCATGGGAGAGAGTGTGCGGTATTAGAGGTGATATCACACATTGCTTAGATTTTATGTGCCCTATTAGCATTACCACCTCATAGAGGAACTACCAGAACTTCCTCCCTCTCTGACACTCTTCCATCTCTGTGGTACTGGCTCTAGTTTCAATGCCTCCAGCATGGGAAACCAGGCTTCCTGCCTTCCTTTGCTCAAAACTATTACCAATCGTCTCTTCACGTCTTGCTCAGCTGCTGCTGCAAAAAGCATAACCTCTGTTACTGCTCATCAGCTGCTTCATAAGGAACCATTCATGTACATGCTTTGAATCTCACTTGTCCCTGAAGTGAGTGCAAATTATGTCAAGTAGGCTTACTTACCTTTAGAGAGCAGACAGAGCTCTAGACAGACAGTGGGGCAAGAAGTAGAAGGATGGTATCACCTTTGATAACACTATAATTACATGCATTCAACAAGCATGGCCTTTCCCCAGAGCTGTCTCTGGTGATGTCTGTGCTCTGTTCAGGGAGTAAATAAGGAGTGGATAAAATCTCTTGCTTACTTTTGCTGTATAACACGTATGCTGCAGCCTGCATGCTATATACTGAAAATGCTCCAAAAAGAAAGAAAGAAAAAAAAAGAAAATGGTCAAGGCAATTGATCGTGTTTTTACGCAGTGACTAAAATGATGTTGAACAGTTAGCTGTCTTTGATAAGGTGGCATGTTCCCACAGCTCAGTATTGTAAAATACCTGCATATGTCTTTCAACAACATGCAAATTCAGTGATAATCAAGAACACAGAACTGCTTCCCAGGCTTACATAAATCCTTTATACAGAGTAATGCACTTGCAAATATAACTATCACCCAATTAGAGAAACGTTCTGCAAAGGCAATACTCCTCCAGTTTGTTTTTAGGTCAAATATATCAAGACCTGAAACTGTACATAGTTTCATAGTGTTAAAGAGGTATTTGGACAATGCCTTCAGTAATATGTTTTAACTTTTGCGTAGCCCTGAAGCAGTCAGGCAGTTGGACTTCATGATCTTTGTAGATCCCTTCCATCTGAACTACATGATCCTATTGTAAAGCCTCGGTCATCATAATTACAATGGGGAACAACTTCAGTCAAGTTGCATGCAGTTTCAGCTTCCTCAAACTGTGAGCCAGATATTGACAACATTTCTAAATGAAGGTTAAAGCCCATTTTCTTCAGAGCGATCAGATAAACCTGCTATCACAGAAGTGTGAGCAAGCAAGTTTATTCAACTTCATGCAGGTCACGTGATGTAATTAATTCCAAATGTTTTTGGTCTCTGTACAGAAACTTCCAGCAAAATATTTAAATGATGTAATAATTATCTTTTTGCTTTCATGATCCTTCTGACTATGCCTTAATTTATGATGCTTTCAACTAGCATACATGTATCCTGAGGCTACCATTGGTGCACATTTATTTAAGTCAAAAGATAAATCTTAATGAAAGGTTTTTTTTAACACAATAATTACCTTATTTTGATCATCGTAACAGTAGTTATTAGAGGCACAAAAACAGAATCAGATCTCAGAAGAAGTCATGAAGATACTAAATTGGGTGGAGTACCAGCACTGCCCTATTATTTTGCCAAGAAATGATACATCAAAGTGGCAGCAATGAATCATCACACACTACTAGGAACTACACCCAAGGAACCCAAGAGATGGAAATATTAGATGTACTAACCTCCATGATAAATTGCAAGTTATAATTGCACAGCAGATACTTTGCAATATATCTTTTCTCAGATATGAAACTATGCTCTCCTTATGTCTCCCCCAACACGATCTCTCATCAGAATAAAGTACAACAAATTCGAAAGAACCACAAAAACACTGGAATTTTGGATTGATATGATAGGTCCATCTTTTTAAGAAAACTGCTTTTCTTGTGAAGGATTAAAAACCCAATGTGCCGAATTACCCAGTTAGGCATCCCTGCTCTTTTACAAACATCTTCCCTAAAATCACCATATTATGGGATTATGAACACCATGAGAGGTGAGGATAGCAATGAAAAAGAGCACACCTTTCCCTGCTCTCAATCTCTCTCTGTAGTACAAATGACTACTAGTCTGATCTTATGCCCAGACACAGAACCATCGCACTCAATACACATGCTTCAGAAAAAAATACAGCAATAAAGAGTTCCATGAAGAAGAGGATACAGTGTGTTACCTTTTCCAGTCAAAGTTTCTTCTTTTATTTTCCTCACCGCTTCTTGGCCTTCTCTCTCACTGTTTCCAGCTGTCACAATATAGAAAATACAAAATTAGTGATGCAAACCAGGAACAGTTAATTGTATGCCAGCCATTGTTATAGGTTAACCACAGTGTAAAACCAACAAAAAAGTTTTAAATGAAAATGCATGATTCATGACTGTCAGAGCAGCAGAAGTCTTCAAATACCCCACTGTTCACATGAGTTCTGCTTGTTTACCTCATTTATTCATACAAGCTATGACCACTTGCTGGCTGGACCAGCTGCACGTGGACGTCAGTCTGAGAGACAGGTGAGTTACATCACATTCAGATTCTAAGAAATATTTTCTGCAAGTGAGAGCGGACCACTCTCTGTTCTTTTCCAAATGAAGAACTTCACAGCTGGAGGAAAGGCCCTGCAAACCTGGTCTGAGTGCTAAGGAAAAGCTTCTTCAGCGCTAACAGAAAACATGATAAAGCACCAAATAAAGGGTTTTTCTGCCATTCAGCTGAGGGGTACAATTGTATACTTCTTTGGCAATTGTTCTTTGATAATTTATATAAGAGGGAAAAAGACAAGTGCAAGAAAAATATTCTGTTTGGAAGTACAAGTTAAAGTTTTTACACAAAGTTTGACATTCTATTTATAAATCCAGAAACATTTTTCCATAGTATGAAGCATAAAAATATCTAATTATTTATTATGTAAATTAGATACTAATACTGATATCTATTTTGAACTTCATGTAGTTGTCTTCTCTTTTTTCCTAATTATACAAAACTCTGCCCTGGTTACTGCACAGCCTTTATTTATACTGTACCCCTTTACAATTATCCTGTCCTCTCATTCTCCTGTTAGATCCGTAGCAGGGAATGAATCACAGCATCACAGAATGAGTTAAGATTGGAAAGAACCTTAAGAGAAAGCTCAGGGGAGATCTCACTGTGATCTTCCAATATTCAAATGGAGTTTATAAGCAGGAGGGAAATCAACTTTTTACATGGGCTGACAATGATAGGACAAGGGCAAATATAGTTTTAAACTAAAAGAGGGGAGATTTAGATTAGATGTCAGAGGCAGATTTTTCAGTGAGAGGGTGATGATGCACTGGCGCAGGCTGCCCAGAAAGGCTGTGAATGCCCCATCCTTGGAGGTTTTCAAGTCCAGGTTGGATGGGGTCGTGAGCAGCCTGATCTGGTGCCTGATTTGGAAGTTGGCAACACTGCACCTGGCAGAGGGGCTGGAACTTGATGATCTTTGAGGTTTCTTCCAATCCAGGCCATTCTGTGATTCCATGATTCTAAGATTCTATGAAATAGGTCATCTGGCTCAACCTCTTGCTCATATTAGTTGGTGTGGGCTTGTTACATCTAAATTTAGGAAGTGAGAACATGCTTTATATTGAAATATTTTATCTATTAATCTGCATTAATATGATCTCACAAAGAATGTTCCAAAAGTGGGACTGACCCTTTGAGACAGACCACGTGCTATCCATTGGTTGCACTAGCTGAAGGCACAGAGCACTGGAATGAGATTTTTGGGACAAGTTGGCCACTGAGGAAGTAGACAAATGCATTATTTTGAGAATGGAGAGCTTGCTGTGCATCTGTATTTGAGCAGTAAAAAACAATGATTTGCAATATGCATCTTTATCTTGATGATATGCAAGAAGACTCGGTATTTAAATATATGAAACCAAAATAATAATATTTAACATTTCAGATACTGAAGATTATTCTCACATAAAACCTAGGGTCATTCTGGCCTATAACTGTTCTTTATAAATTACATTAACACTGGAATTATATTACTCAGACTGATAATAATAATAACAGATAATAATAGAACAAAGCAGACGTTTCCAGTATTTCTGTCCTTCTGTGTTTTTTTCCCCTTGGAATATCCAGAGTTTTACAGAAATGTTCAGCTTGATGCTAATTTCTACAAAGGGATGCAGTGTCAACAAACAAACCCTCCAGTAAAATTCCCACATCTGGGGAAATCAGGGCAGATGGGTGATGGGCGAGGGATCAGTTTTCCTCATCGTATCACCCAAAGTGATTTACAAGTGTAAGGCCTCAAACTCAGTGCGTTATGACACGAAATAGATCGTTGGTTTTGAAAACAAACATACTTTGGTGCCAACTCCGTGAAGGACTGATGTGATTTCTCTTTCATTCAGCTCTCCTTGTGCAGAGAACATGCTTGTTAAGGTTTCAGTGACTTGATTTGACTTTACTTTCAGTATGTTCACTTAATTTGTTCTTTTAAGAGAGCTTGTATTCACAACAGATTTTAATTTGCTTTATTTTGCTGTTATATAAATGGTTATTCATTAAAGCTCAGCACCCTTCAAATGAGCTCATTTTATTCATATTTGCATGTTTTTCATTCTAGACCACTGGGATAAAATAATTATTTTGCTCAACAGTCACTTCAAATGTCTGTTTCCAGCCTGATTCAACAAAGAGTTCAAAAACTAGGTCCTGGAAACTTGAGTATCATAGAATCAAAATAACCTCAGCTACTGTGATAGAGGCTTTTGAAATGCATCTTTCAAAGAAGAATCTCTAAGAGAGACTGAGCAGATGACCAAAATCCTCACATAAAATTCAAAGACACATGATCACAAAGTTACCATAAAACTGGGAGAGAGATCTACACCTCTACGTTTGCTTAAAGTGATCAGTGTCCCCTTCCTGAGAATGGATGGAAGAATTAAGGGAGACTGAATAATTGTACTGCTTTATATACTCTTTGAGTATATCCTTGTGGGATCCACCAAGTAAAATGAATGAAAAAGGTATGAAAAATAGAAACCTCCTCTTAAGTGCTACATTAATTATTCTAAATTAAAAATAATTAAAAATAATAATAATAACTTGTAAAGACACCAAGACAGCAAAATTGGTTTTAGGTCTGTAAAAATCAAACTTTGGATTTCTTTTTGACAGTGGTGGCTTACTGAGGGACTCAGCTTCCAAGCCCACTAAGCAGGAATGAGTACAGTGCTCTAAATTAAGGAGAGCAATAGTTTGTTAAATGAGGGTAAAATTCTTAATGTCATCAGGTCCTCAGCAATATAATTGTAACAAATGTTTAGAAAACTTTGTGATATGCAGGAGTATCCACCTGCATCATTTTCATACCTTCAACATGACAGATTTTTCCAACTCAGAATGTATCCATGTTAAACTCAGTAGCATCTGCAGCATGAGATCTGCCTACTCTGGATGCAAGAAGAATGGAGGGTAGGATGAGAAAGTAAGATAAATCATGTTTTAGTGCAGTGAGAAATCAAAACAAAAGCTTTAAGAAAAAGATATTACATGTCTTGAAAGCTTAGATTATCAAAGTACTTAAAACTGCAATAACCCTGTTGCTTTTTTTTTTTTTTAATGCAAATTTAAAGTGTCTATGGGGAGCTCAAAGTGGTTACAGTTGTCTCAAGAATTGTCTATGCATGTAAGCTCTTCAATGCCATGCCTGAGGTTTTCCGTATCCGTCCCACAAAACAGTGAAAAATTCAGATGCAACTGATTCAGTAACAACACTGACTACAACCAAGTCTGAAAATAAAACTAATAACATAAAAATAAATTCCATTCTCAATGAATGTACCTGTATAAAAACAGACATCATATTAATGGCATGAAAAATTCTAGTTCTTAGTAAAGTATAAAGGCTCATATTGGAAAAAAAAAAAAAAAATAGAACATAAATTTAAATACATCTTTTAGTCAAAAATTGACTCCCCTCTTCAACATTTGCCTACACAGGTGTCACAAGTCAAAGTGCACTGAACTAAAGACACCATAAAAGTAAACCAAAAAATACTTATCAGCAGTAGGAGGCATTGGATCTCACCCTAGAGGTCAGACTCTGACATCTTCACAAGTTTAAGCAGATTCTTACTGAGAATTATTTCAGGGATTTCAATAGAACTGTCACAGAGCATGGCCCAATTTGAATTGGATGGCAGTAACAAAGTCCTTAGAAGCCTAACATGGCTGAATGAATCTGTGCATTAGAGGAACACTATCACTATCACTAGATACGGAGTCCTGATACATTTATAAGCATTCTTTATAAAATATTCCTAATTCCTCTGAGGATGAAAATCTCTCCAAAAGGACAATTACTAATCACAATCATAACTGATGTACAAAATTGATCATGGTAAAAAGCAAGGCTTTTTCCAATTCTTTTAATAGAAATGGGAATTTGCCATCTTGATCTTTTAAGGCACAGGGCATTAGCAAGAAATTTAAGATATTCTCCGAACAATGATGCAGCCTGTAATGCTTAAGACTGTTTGGAAAAAAAAAAAAAGCCAGATTTAGCAAAGAAAGAATTTCACAACTTTCAGCAAATGAACACGAAAACAAAACACAAATAAAGAGTTCCTGAGGCAGATAACAAGCAGATCCAAAATGCTCAGGACATTGTGGTGCAGAGATACATGGAGGCTGAGGCCACCCTTTGAGGCAGTGTGGCTCTCGACTGACAGCAACCCCCTCTCCTAGTTACCCATAAATATACACCACATAATCTCTAAAACTGAATAGCTTTTCAGAATTAGCAGCTTGCCCTATGGCCTTCTCCACTCCTGCTATGATATTTGGGGAAGGGAAGGGCAGGAAAAGTGGACTTGCAGATGTGGTAGTTTCAATGCAAAGATCTTAACTGATCTCTTCAAGTAATCCAAGTTTATGGTGTCTATAAACTCCAACTCATATACCCACTTTCAGGAGAAGCTTGGCACTATGGTAATTAACTGTATATAAATATACCATGTGATTAAGAAGATGTGTACAGTGATGGTTAGGTGCCTTGCATGATGTTGTGCAAGATACATAAGCAGTTCCAACTGTGAATTTGAATTAAGGAGACTCTTCAGTGCTGTCTAATCCGCATTATGACTGAAAGGGAACTGATACAAATGGAGCACGGGCCAAAAGACAGGGTTTACCAGGGCACCCAAACTCTCCCGAGAAAAACAAAGTAATACCAGCTCATGCTATAAGGGTTATGGTTTTATC